ACAGTATATACCTGCAGAAAAGTCTAATATAATACGAAACAACAAAGACCAACAATTAATAAGCAACGGGAACTATGTAACCAATCACCGATCACTTTTACATTCATTCATAATTTTTACTGCGTACTATAGTAAACAAACGGCCTCGAGTTGCCAACTGTCTCCAGCAGTGTTCGAAGAATCTTGAACGAGACTGTACATTCTTCCCCTGATCTTTATATTCTTCAGAAAAAAAAAATCAAACCTACATCAATTTTAAATTTGCTGGCTCACTGTAGTAGTTATAATTGTTCATTTAACATGCTTTACATTTACCATCCATGGGATTGTTTGTTTCCTGACCAACTCATCATATACCCCAAATTCCTCTCTAGCTCATATTTTCCAGTTTGTCAGAAAAAAAAATTATTGAATCCTGCAATGGTAACTAAGGATATCTTACTCTTCCAATATGGAAAAAAAAAAGGGGGGGGGGAATGCAAGGAATATAAAACATCCACTGATGTAGCCCACCATCCCTACAGCTAACAATAACATCCACTGATGATGGATGCTATTTAAGGGTTAATATCTGGTCACGGGAATTGTAACATATTGCTCAATAACATTTGGGAACAACTCTTGTATAATGCCCTTCAAATGTTATAGGTTTGGACTAGGGAATCTCTGAATTTGGCAGTTGAGACCAACACAAACATTAGGTAATTATCTCAAAGCAGCCTAAGCTGGAAAAGGTTCTGAGAAGTCCCAGCTACCACTAAAGGCTTGGAGATGACAACTCATGGAGTCATGCAGCTATTGAACTGATCCTCATTTGATTTGACTCTTTTCATAATGCAGGCTAGCATATCGCCTCCTTACAGCTACAACCTCCGTTAGCATGAGCCATTCATCATCTGATTATGGTTCTTTTGTGGAATTGGTCATTAGGGGTTTAAGTTTGTGAGACAGGTTTGTATGTTGTATGAATGATAAGAGCAGGTTTTTATCCTGCTTTTTTTGTTATTCTCCAAGTGTTTAGATGTGATAAATCAGACTAATTGGGGCAGACCCTGCATAAAAAATGTGAAAGTCCTAGAAAAGCGAATTTAAGGGAAGGGGGGTGGATGTAACATTGCTTATCTGAACTGTTTAAAGAAAGTCAGTCATGTTATTACTGCACTTCAACAACTAAGGTCTTTAAGTGTATAACAAGGTTATTAAAAGAATAATACGTCAGCAATAAAAAAAAATTTAAACAAAACTCTCTGGGTTGAAAATCAGACATGCAAGTCTGGTTGTCACCGAGAGGATTGTTATTTACTGTAAAGTGTTATATGCAAGTAACCACAGAATTTGTCTTTTGAATAAAGAGAAAACTGTATTCTGTATAGTACTATAAAGATGAAAATAAGTGAAGGAGTATTTTGTATGTGGAAGGTGAATGTTTATCTGTAAGCAGCTGGCAGAGGGAGGGGGTGGCCTCCTCCCACATGATTCCTTTAACACTTCTTTATTCAATTTCACCACAATTCTCATATAATTTAGGATCATTTGGTATCAGGTAGATAAAATATTATCCTTAAAGAGTCAACTTTCCTGAAGAAAGAATCCCACACTGAACAGGAGTCATTTCATACTCATTTGGTTACAAACAGCTGATCAGCTTACCACAATGTCTGTCTTCAACAAGTAGCCAAACTGAGTCGTCATATAACACTCAAAGGTAGTAAATAACGCTTTTAAGAAGGTATCTTCATATCAAATACTATACATTGTATTATAGTCACCCTTGGTGTAAGCTGGTCTACTGAAAGCTCATACTAATGCATCTTGAGTAAACATCCTTCTGATACAGTTTATCCTTTTATTTTCAAGTCATATTACAAATTACATACAGTATTGTATTTTTTCTATATTACTGAAGATGTAATATTAATCGTGATGAAAAACCATAAGAGGCCAATCATATGAGAATATAATACTGAATCAATAAATAAATAAACCTGATGAATGTGGCAACACCTGATCAGCCCCAGCCTGCTTACATACTCAGGTGTCTTAGTTCTCAGTAGGCCTATAGCAAATCTGATTAGACCACTGTACAGTATTCAGTATGTGTTGTTCATTTCATCAGAATTGTTTTTCTTTAATCTTTCCCATTTCTTATTTTTTATGTTTTTCTGGTGACCAGCAAATCTCAGAATCTGAAAAAAGTGAATTCCGATATACTTTATTGAAGTCGGATTTATCGAGGTTTAACTGTACTTAACTTTAATGAGTTTCACATTAACGATTCATCACAATAACGACAGTAATGAAATGCGACACATTAGCAATACATTTCAACACAATAACGATCAGTAGTGCAAGTTGATAGTCACTCTGGGTGGCCATCTTGATGACATCAGCGAGCAGGGTGGTTTGTTTTGATCACAGCGCAGAACTTGTGTGGTGTAACCTACTCACTTATCTGTGACCGTGTTGCATAACCTCTCTACCTCTGGTAGAGACAGAGATGACAGCACTGTTGATGATAATGTTCAAGATTTACCTGTGTGTGATCTGTTAGATGATTTCCCACTAGACTTCACTGACTTTGAAACTGAAGGATCAGTTGGTGGTGGTGCTGGGGAAGCAGTGAGTGTGGGGGGCAGGGGGGCACTAACATCACCTTCCCTGCCTCAAATGACAGCAAACAGTCTCATTAAGCAGTTCATTGAGTGTCGAAAGGTTAGTTATTATTAGTTATTAACTCTACATGCAGTATAATGTGTGAGTAAGTGGTTGTAATTTTTGTGGGGTTTATAGGGGGTGAAAGTATCTGAGGACTGGTACCAATTGACCCATTTAGAATGTAAACTATACTCACCACATGAACGATTTTCACTTTAACGACCGTTTTCGTGGTACCAATTAGTCTTTAAAGTGAAGTATGGACTGTATATAGAGTCTTCATATTTAGTGTCACATGTTAGTAGTCCATTCTACTGTATTTTTTTTTTTAATGTGTTTCTTCCTACCTGGCAAGAGGCCTGCTTGAGTTTTATGTTTGCATCAAGTAACTGGTTTGACATCAGGGAGCATTACAGGAAATTTCTACTCGAATTGATTGGGGAGCTTATTGTTTTTAACTGATCATAGTTGATGAGGCCTTGATACAGTATTTCTTCTTCAAGTGTTATTGTGTACTTCTGGTGTATGTATATTTTGGAAACAAGATCTCTTCAGGGGCCCTGATAAATGACTGCTTTGAAGTGGGTTATTTGTCTGATTGCAGTGGGGTTTCATCAGTTTCACAAGTTACATGTATAGATTTTCAAGGGATTCTTTGTTTATATCACAATAAGTTCTTGGATTAATCTAATTAGTGTGCATTAGATTTGTTTGGGTTCTGGCTTGAGCTCATTGTTGACACTGACTTATCAACTGTATATTTGGTGGTAATTCACAAAGTAAACCTTTGCCGAGGGCCTTGCAGTCTTCTAGAAGTCTAGCACCTCAGTCACCAATTAGATGATGGTTTTCACAATGCCAGATAAACACCCATGTTGGGTTATTTGCCAAACAGTGGTAGCAAGTACTTCTTGAGTCTCATTTGGACTAGGGTTCCTCTGTGGAAGTTAACTAATCTTTGAGTTGTCCCCAGCCACCATGTTTAGGGTTTTATTATATCCACACCCATAACATATGTCAAGCATTGTATCCGAGTTGTTCATTACTGTGTTTTTTAGGATGAAACCATCATTAGTTCTCATATTTTCTTCAATAATTTTTTTTATCTTTTTACAAGTAAGTTTTTGGATTTATTAAACAAATGATAATTCTAAGACTAAATTTTTACCCATAGGAGGACAGTTTGAAAAATATATACTGTATTGTCAAATGTAGAAAGGTAAGTGCAGTATAAATGATCTTACATGAACTGTGAAAATATTATCACCCGACAAAGTATTGGACAACAAATTAAAGTCTTAAAAGTCAAAATGAGGTCAGTTAAAGGTCAGAACCTTGTACAGGTATATACAATAAATTTTGTGAGAGATATATTTATGAAATTTCTATGGAATATGTATTGCTACCAGACAAAGTGCAGATTACTATATTCTTGTCTGTCATAACTCGAGTTGAAGAATGAAAATGAAAACCAAGTTCAGAACACAACTTGTGTATCAATACCAGTGTTTTGATGAAATCACTAAAATATACATCTTCACAAGATGAAGTAAAACACTTAATTCAAGATTTGAGGTTAAATTTGACAATATTCTACATGTAGTTTCTTATGATAATTATATTCCAGTTGATTGACGTTTTTCATTTTTATTATTGTACTGGTTACAACTTTGTGATTTTCTAAAAGATTTGACTTCACAAAATTATATTACTGTAAATACTTCATTTATATGAAGTTATAGCAAGGAAACAGGTTTATATGGAGAGACCAAAGGTGGAGAAGATTCATTTATTCATTCGTCATGTTAATGCAAGTCATAGGAATATAGATTGCATTTAAATGAGGATTTACTAAAAATAAATAGAAAATAAAAATAAATTACTGTATACTTACTTTATAGTCTCCGACAATCAAATTCAAAAAAATATTTTTGTGTTATGCATAGTGAATTGATTTGATTTGGGGACCTAAGGCATCACTGTATACAGTATGGTTAAATTAAGGATATTAACAAGTTTTTGTGGAGTGCTTCTGTCTTAGCTCTTGACACTTTCTCCTTTTATTTTACCTTCTTTGAAGTTTGTGGAACCCCTATGCTCCACCCACACCAAAAGGGGAAGAAGAGTGAAGTTGACAGTGTAGATCAAATGTTAAAGTTTATGTGCAGGTTCATATATATGCCACTTACAGTTATTGACAGTTAAGAGTATTTAAAAAAAGAAGTTATTTTATCCCCTCCCCCAAAAACCCTGCAACTATTCACTTGGAAACATGATTTGTAAAGACAAAAGGTGAGATGCAAGTGATGGGTTGGTTCCTGTTGTAAATGTAAATATACTTTCAGGTGGCTACGCACAATAAGTGTCATCCTGTTTCTAAACAAGCAAGACCTGCTGGCAGAAAAAATCCGGGCAGGTAAGAGTAAGCTGGAAGATTATTTCCCCGATTTTGTTCGGTACCAGACCCCACTAGATGCCACTGTTGAGCCTGGGGAAGATCCGGAAGTGGTGCGCGCAAAGTACTTCATCAGGGACGAATTTCTAGTAAGTTCATAGAAATGTTAGTGTTGGAATAGAAATAACATGAATCTCTCTCTCTCTCTTTTTTTTTACAGATATATTTGTGTGAGAATATACTATGGTAATTCACCAGTCACTTAGGAATGGGGCCCACTATCTATGACTAACAAATTTCTTAATCTTCAGTGCTGATAGCAAGATATTCCTCAGTACCTTGAATTTTTACTTTAAACTGCTAATTAATGCTTTTTCTGGATTCATTATGATTTAAGGCATTTTAAGATGCACAGAATAGCCAACGCATTAGCTTTCACGGACTGCCATTAAAAAATACAACATTGTACCATGTCTTGGGAATAACTTGTACAACACAGTCAACAGAAAACAATAAAATTAGGAAAACTGAATTTGGACACAATGTGGAAAGAAACAGTGAAGAAAATATTTAGATTATTATGAAAAGAAAGACAAAAAAGAATAAAAAACGCCCTTTGTAAAGGACTCGGAAAGCACAAGAAACAACCAGAGAGCCGCTCTGCTCTAGGCTTCTTCTCTGGTGGCTATGTGTTCACATATTTGTGCACGTAATACAACGAATTTCAGGTTCATTTAAGTCTTAATTTTTGCACTTACAGAACTGTAATCAACTTGTTCACCCTTATTTAAAGTATCTTCTGAGTAATAATATTAAAGTTTTAATTATATTTGAGTAATTATCAATATTGTTACACCAAAGTTACCAATGGCTAATGAAATCGGACAGCACCCACGTAAAAGGGCGGAGTCAAAACAGGTTTCAACTAGGGCTAATCTTTTTCAATTATTTCATGCCTTACAGTTTGTTTTAGGTCCTATCCAATATACTGCCGTATATAGAATTATTTTTATTATTATATCACAGTTTTTTTATTGCCTTACATGCCTCCAACTCCTCAATATTAATAAAAATATTCTCCATAAGCGGCCATGATCCGGGATGCGTATTTTCACCCGGAGAAATCGCTGATTGGTTGTTAGCTATTTGTGCCGCGCTGGCCACGCGGAAAGTCTTAACGCCTGATCAAGGTGTTAACTTTTCCCTCTGAACGCCCCTGTGCACAACACTAAAGCAGCTGCTGCAGAGACAGAATAGCTAACGCGTTAGCTATTCCGTGCATCTGAAACGCCTTACAATAATCGCCTTTAGTTTATATTTCGCCAATTCACTATCCATATTAAATGTTTTACACAGGAGTAAAGCTTTGAAGATGGGTTCTTTGTATACAGTGCCCTTGCACAGTCGGCTTTAATACTGTTAACAAAATTAGGTGAACCAAGTAACTCCACTGACACCAGGATGCACTGAGCTACAAATGTGACATCTCCTGCAGCAACACCAGAGTTTGGCATAATAAAGTAGATGACATTGACTATTGACTAGACTTTGAATATATCCGAGTTACTTGATTTTGGTATGAAATTTTAATGACATGACAAGATTTGACTTACAACATAATAGTTTGCTGTTTGTAGTCATTGGGAGTTTGATACACTGACAACCAGTCCTTTGTCCTGACTCACCCAAAAGTTTTAACTCTCAAACTTTCTTTTTTCATCCATTCAGCCACATTTTACATATAAACTCCTCCAGTTCATAACCACCTGGCATTTACTCATATATGAATCATAACATAATGATTCTTATGTGAAATTATTTGAGACATTAGGATTCATCACTTATTGTATATACATTACTGCATTTCATTTATGTTGTTTCTGAAATATCAGGCAGTGTGATGGGTAATTAATGTTCAGTGTATCTGCAACATTGGTCTCTCATGGCATACAGTATATATTAAGTTGACATTTTCTGTACAGATATTTGTTTTAGCAGGGGATACTGTATTTAAGCTGTTGTTTCATTGTATGTTGTGATGTGAAAATAATATTGCACAAAATTTGCAAGATTTCCTTTGAAACATTGAATAACAGCAATTAATGAGAAAAAACTTCTCTTGCAGAGGATAAGCACAGCCAGTGGTGACGGAAAGCACTACTGCTACCCTCACTTTACATGCGCCGTGGACACTGAAAACATCCGCCGAGTGTTCAACGACTGCAGGGACATAATACAAAGGATGCATCTCAGACAATATGAACTTTTGTGATGGCCAGTAGGTGTGGGTACTGTGGGCGGCAACAGTATCGCTCCAAAGGAGCGACCGAGGCAGGCAGGTTGGGCTGAGTGGGGTGGAGGATCTGTGAGTACAGAGTAACCTTCCCGCCTAGTCTCCTCAGAGGAGGGTCCTCAGTTCCTCGGGTTCCACCAGGCCACAACAGCCTCATCTGCGCCTCATTCGTGGCACAACATCAACTTTCCCTAACACCGTTCCCCAAACCCCCTTCCCATAGTCCTCTTTTTATTTTGAAATGAAATTTTATTATTTTTAAGATATAATGCTATTCTGTAATTGCACGCACAGATTAATGGTATTCCCTCTTCTGGAAGATAATTTTATTATTTCCAAACTCTTTAACTAAGACTTCTCTTGCCTTTTTACTTATATTGTTAATGAATTCTGGTGATACAAAATGTAAGCTCAAAATCCTTGCACTTTCTTAACCAGGGAGTACTGACTGCTTCACAGTACTCCATGGTGACACATCTCATGCTGCTAACACTTACTCTTTACTCATTTTATTGTTACTTTTATGAAAATTTTAATGATGTGTTTCTGGTTATTTAGTATCTTCTTTCAAAGTATTAATGGGATACCTTGTATGAGGACAAAGACAAAATTGTTCCAAATGTAGACTACTTAGAGTGTGATGTATCCTTGTCAAGCAACCAACCCATCCCCAATTGGGTGAACTTGTTTCTCTCCACCACCACGCCACACTTGGCCTCCTTGGTCTGGCCCCATCGACCAAAAACTTAAACAGTGGGCATCCCTTCCCCAGGTCCACTTGACTCCCCCATGTGTACCCTACTTCCCGATCCCCAAGTTAGCAACTGCCCAAATCTTCAAAGTTAGGAGTATTGTCAGTTGATTGTGTGCAAAATTAAAAGTCTCTTTAATTTAGAAGTATTGTTTCACAAAAATGTTGTCTCATGCTTTTGGTGTCCATATTTTTGTTAATTTTATAAATATATATAATATAATATAATAATATAATATATATATATATTATGTTGGTGGTATGTGAGCCTATATTTATGTCGGAGGGCACAGAATGAGCTCAACCCTTCACCCTATCAGTTTGTTGTAGACATGGCAATTTGATAAGTTTTTATCTATTTATTTTACCTATCAACACCAGAGATCTGCTTTCATGAATCTTGCTTTGTGGAGGAAATCTCAATTAGATGGAATTTATTTTGTACTTTTTTAATTTATTAAGTAATAAGTGCAACTAAGTAGACTGGTGACAATTATTTGTGTAGTCGTGATTGTGTTAAAACCCACCAAATTGTGCTATAATAACTGAGTTAATGATCAGTTCTGCAACCAAATAAGTTTTCCCCAAGCTTTACCAATTTCACTACTGAGTAGTTTTTTAACTTTTGTTTTAACTGCTGGCACCTCTCACTTCTGACCCTTTCACTTCCCAAGGGAAACTTGTATTATTGCCCCTTTTTCTTTAGTTTGTGTCAGAAAGTGACATAATTCTTTCTTGAAAAGGCTTGAAAGAGATGCAATGCCACATTAATTTTGGTCTGTGTTATGTTGGCTGGCAAGAAGGTGAGAGGTGCTGGCACACTGGAGGGTGTGAAAAACGCCCTCCACATGTGGGCAATAGTTTGAGATCCTACAGTGGTGTGTTACCATGTAAGCTTTCTCAGGGCTGCTTTGGAAACTGCTGCTGTAGCCAGCCTCACACTATTATCCACAATTTGCACGCTGCATTAGCCAGCTGTGCATTGTTAGACAGCATTAAACTTTGCTGTCTTTGCTATGCTGAATGTAGGAGTTTTTGACAGAATATGGAATAATGTACATCTCTGAATGCTGATAAATGATTTTTTTTTATGTGTAACTTGAGGATGTATGAACAACTTTGTGGGAAAAAGAAGTTTACTTGAAAAGTGCCAATATTGTACCCTAGGCTGCGAGCATAGGTGTAGCGGTGAGTTTAACACACCAATTGTGTGAGTTTGGCGAGGGAGTTGGACGGCACCGGGTGGTGGTGTTGTCGCAGGGTTGGTGCCGTGAGTCACTGTGGTCAGTCTAGTTGATGGCTGGGGGGAGGGTGCCGCCCCCTGCTCCCTGGAGTCCATGGCCCCTCCTCTACTACCAGCCATCCCACAACATGATAGCCGTGGTAATGCTGGTCTGTGGTTGTGAGGCCTTACTGGTTACCCAGAACCACACCAGCACCATTTACCACGCACCTTAGTTAGGTGGCTACCGCTGTGGTCCCTCTACTTTGCCTGTACAAATCCCTTGTTTAGTCTGCCCCCAGGGCATAACACCAGCTTGTGTTTTATGTTAGAGGCTTGTGTAGTGCCTTAGAACACCAGATTGGTTTAGCTGCGCTTCAGATCCAATAGTCTCCAGGGAGCATTTCCCTGATCCCATTCTTCCCTTACCTTGTTCCTCCTTCCCTTTCTCAACTTACCATCTTCCTCTCCTTTAATTTAAAACCTGAAAACCCTAATCCAACACCCTCTTCCTGAGTGGCAGGTAGTATATAGGCCTTCATGGCCATAGCTCTTGCTACAACACCTGTAGAGACCAAGCCCAAAACTGGTAGCCAACTCAGATGGAAGGAAAATTCTTTATATAGGATTTGTCTTTCGATCTGATCCCTTCTATCGTCACAATCCTCCCCGTGTAGTTATAACCTATAAAAAAAGTGTTACAGAAAATTAGACTACCTGATTTTATGTACTTGAATGTGTTCGGTTAATGTATACCAGCTCAGTGTATGCTTTGTATTATGGCTAAAGTGTAGGCATACCTTAACAGTGAAGCAACAAGATCAGCTGCAGGAGTGGTGTGGGTGCGGGGTCAGTCGTCCTGCCCTCACTTACATGCTGACCAATGGCCTCATCCCTATGACAGGCCAGTTTGGGCGAGTGATCCCTCGAGGGTTTAAAGCCCAGATGGAGTTGCAAGGGCCTGGCCACACCCCGGGGGCTGCCCGTGGGCGGCCAACTTGTCTCGTCTCCCAGCGTTGGTGGCCCACTCACCCCCAGCTGCCCCCAAGAGGTCAGCCTGCCCCTGCACCCCCATTTGTGCCCCTCCTATCACACCTGCGCCACCAGAACAAGTGGAAGCGGTTACTCGGATCCTGGGTTAACATTACTATCCTAGCACGTCAAATATATATTTCAGAAGTATATTTCAGATGAATTTATTCAAATGCTGCGTAATGGTCACTGTAAATTGTGTAATTGTGAATAAATTTACAATGTCTTATTTACAAGAAGCTTAAGTATTTTTATTTTCCAGTATAGTTATAAGAATTTTTCATCCATTATAAATGAAATTCTAGTACAGTATAAAGTGTATGTGTATGGTGAAGGAATGGGTGAAAATATGAAAAAACAGAGCTACTTTTTGTGGAAGTAGATTATCGACGTTTTGGGAAATATTACCTAATTTTGCAAAGTAGATTATCATAGAAAACGGGAAATTTGTATCATAAAAAATGGGAAATATCTACTTTCCGGGAAAGTTGGTTATCTACTTTCCCGAAAAGTAGATAGATTTTCTACTTATCGGGAAAGTAGATTATCGACTTTTCGAGGAAGTAGATTATCGATTTTGGGAAATATCACCTAATTTTGCGAAGTAGATTATCATAGAAAACGGGAAATTTGTATCATAAAAATGGGAAATATCTACTTAACGGAAAGTTGGTTATCTACTTTCCGAAAAAGTAGATAGATTTTCTACTTTTCGGGAAAAGTAGATTATCGACTTTTCGAGGACATAGATTATCGATTTTGGGGAAATATTACCTAATTTTAAGTAGATTATCATAGAAAACGGGAAATTTGTATCATAAAAATGGGAAATATCTTTCCGAAAGTTGGTTATCTACTTTCCGAAAAGTAGATAGATTTTCTACTTTCGAAAGTAGATTATCGACTTTTCGGGAAGTAGATTGTCGATTTTGGGGGAAATATTACCTAATTTTGCGAAGTAGATTATCATAGAAAACGGGAAATTTGTATCATAAAAAATGGGAAATATTTACTTTCCGAAAGTTGGTTATCTACTTTCGAGACATAGATTATCGATTTTGGGGAAATATTACCTAATTTTGCGAAGTAGATTATCATAGAAAACGGGAAATTTGTATCATAAAAATGGGAAATATCTACTTCCGGAAAGTTGGTTATACTTCCGAAAAGTAGATAGATTTTCTACTTTTGGAAAGTAGATTATCGACTTTTCGGGAAGTAGATTGTCGATTTTGGGAAATATTACCTAATTTTGCGAAGTAGATTATCATAGAAAACGGAAATTTGTATCATAAAAATGGGAAATATTTACTTCCCGGAAAGTTGGTTATCTACTTTTCGAGGACATAGATTATCGATTTTGGGGAAATATTACCTAATTTTGGAAGTAGATTATCATAGAAAACGGAAATTTGTATCATAAAAATGGGAATATCTACTTTCCGGGAAGTTGGTTATCTACTTTCCCGAAAAGTAGATAGATTTTCTACTTTTCGGAAAGTAGATTATCGACTTCGAGGAGTAGATTGTCGATTTTGGAAATATTACCTAATTTTGAAGTAGATTATCATAGAAAAGGAAATTTGTATCAAAAATGGAAATATTACTTTCGGAGTTCTACTTCTTTGGGAAGAATATCGATTTTTGGAAATATTACTAATTTTGCGAAGTAGATTATCATAGAAAACGGAAATTTGTATCATAAAAATGGAAATATCTACTTTCCGAAAGTTGGTATCTACTTTCGTGATATTTTTGAAGTGATTATCGATTTTAGTAGTTTCGATTTGTTTTTTTTGGATTTGTATTAAAAATGAAATATTACTTCGGGTTGGTAAGATTTTTGGAAAGTAGATTATCGACTTTTGAGGAAGTAGATTTCGATTTGGGAAATATTACCTAATTTTGCGAAGTACATTATCATAGAAAACGGAAATTTGTATCATAAAAATGGAAATATCTACTTTCCGAAAGTTGTATATCGACTTTTCGAGGAATAGATTATCGATTTTGGGGAAATATTACCTAATTTTGCGAAGTAGATTATCATAGAAAACGGAAATTTGTATCATAAAAATGGAAATATCTACACGGCACCCAAGAGCACTTCGGTACACATGCACCCAAGAGCATTTCGCACAGCACCCAAGAGCACTTCAGTACGTGCACGAAGAGCACTTTATACACGTGCACCAAGAGCACTGCACACGCACCCAAGAGCACTTCGAACACCCAAGAGCACTCGCACACATGCACCCAAGAGCATCTCAGTACATGTGCACCGAACAGCACTTCAGTACACATGCACCCAAGAGCACTTTGGTATGCATGCATCCAAGAGCACTTCGGTACACTTGCACCCAAGAGCACTTGGTACACTTGCACTCAAGAGACTCCGCACACGTGCACCCAAGACCACTTCAGTACACATGCACCCAAGAGCACTTCGGCACATGCACCCAAGAGCACTTCGGTACACATGCACCCAAGAGCACTTCGGTACACATGCACCCAAGGTCATTTCCGTAAACATGCACCCAAGAGCACTCTGGTACACTTGCACTCAAGAGCACTTCGGTACACACCCCAAGAGCACTTCTGGTACACATGCACCCAAGAGCACTTTCGGTACACATGCACCCAAGAGCACTTTGGCATATCGCAGCACCCAACAGCACTTCAGCACACATGCACCCAAGAGCACTTTGGTACAATGCACCCAAGAGCATCTCACGTGCACCCAAGAGCACTTCGGTACACATGCACCCAAGAGCACTGCACATGTGCACCCAAGAGTATTTCGGTACACATGCATCCAAGAGCACTTCCGGGGGCGTCGGGTGGGCGTCGGGAGGGGTCCGAGGCATCAGGGCGGGCGTCGGGGGCGTCGGGTGGGCGTCGGGGAGGCGTCGGGTGGTCGTCGGGCGGGCGTCGGGAGGGCATCGGGCGTTGGGAAAATTTTTGGAAAATTTTGGAAAAATTTCGGAAATTTTTGGAAAATTTTTGGAAAATTTCTGAAAAATTTTGGAAAATTTTCGGAAATTTTTGAAAAATTTTGGAAAATTTTTGAAAAATTTTGGAAAATTTTCTGAAAATTTGGGAAATTTTTGAAAAAATTTGGAAATTTTGGAAAATTTTCGGAAATTTCTGAAAATTTTTGAAAATTTTTGGCAAATTTTTGGAAATTTTCTGAAATTTTTGGGAAAAATTTGGAAAATTTGCGGAAAATTTTTCCGAAAATCTAGGGAATTTCTGAAAAATCTAGGGGAATTTTTGGAAAATCTGGGGAAATTTCTGAAAAATCAAGGGAATTTTTTGGAAAATCTAGGGAAATTTTCGGAAAATCTGGGGAAATTTTTGGAAAATCTGGGGAAATTTTTTAAATTTTTGGAAAATTTTTGGAAATTTCCCCAGATTTTCCAAAAAATTCCCTAGATTTTCCAAAAAAATTCCCTAGAGTTTTCAGAAATTTCCCCAGATTTTCCAAAAATGTCCCCAGATTTTTCAAAAATTTCCCAAAATTTTTGGAAAATTTTGGAAAATTTTCGGAAATTTTTGGAAAATTTTTGGAAAATTTCTGAAAAATTTTGGAAAATTTTCGGAAAATTTTGAAAATTTTTGGAAAATTTTCTGAAAATTTGGGAAATTTTTGAAAAAATTTGGAAATTTTTGGAAAATTTTCGGAAATTTCTGAAAATTTTTGAAAATTTTTGGCAAATTTTTGGAAATTTTCTGAAATTTTTTGGAAAAATTTGGAAAATTTTCGGAAAAATTTGCGAAAATCTAGGGAAATTTCTGAAAAATCTAGGGGAATTTTTGGAAAATCTGGGGAAATTTCTGAAAAATCAAGGGAATTTTTTGGAAAATCTAGGGAAATTTTTGGAAAATCTGGGGAAATTTTTGGAAAATCTGGGGAAATTTTTTAAATTTTTGGAAAATTTGGGAAAATTTTCGGAAAATTTGGGAAAATTTTTGGAAAATTTTGGAAAAATTTCGAAAATTTTCGGAATATTTGCGAAAATTTTTGGAAAATTTTGGAAAAATTTCGGAAATTTTTGGAAAATTTTGGAAAAATTTCGGAAATTTTTGGAAAATTTTCGGAAATTTCTGATAATTTTTGAAAAATTTTGGCAAATTTTTGGAAATTTTCTGAAAATTTTTGGAAAATTTTGGAAAATTTTCGGAAAATTTGGGAAAATTTTCGGAAAATTAGCGAAAATTTTTGGAAAATTCAACTCTTATCACTGTTTTTGTGTTGTATTACGTTGATAAACATTATTTTCTCATCAATACATTTACTGAAGAAACGGGTAATGAGCATCACACCTCTAAACTTTGTGTTTATTTATGTATTATAGAAACATTTCTTGGTATTGTGGAGTTTGTAAAAATAGAATCCAGTTGTCTGTATCTTTAAACATGTAATAATGGCTTAACTGTTTTTCCTCATAAACAACATTTTTAATTATCTTCAGAAAATGGTAAAGTTATCATAATTTTGCGTAGCTAACTGGACTTTAATGGTCTTATATACTCCGAAAAGGTGACGACAGTACCTGGTGTCTGAGATGAGACTTGCTTACCTGCATTCAGTCTCTGTCAAATTCCGGCTCAGTAGAAAAGTCGTGGCCAGTAGAGCCTCAATTGTATCTGTGAGTGAAGCAATGTTGGTTGAGCGGCTAAGGCCCAGGGCGGGTAGAGGATTATTAAGGTTAACTTCTATGACCTTCTGGTCCCCGAGATATGCTTGGGACTATCAGTTGGCTGAAAATGTTCAAAGGAGGGCCACCAGACTGGTGCCTGCATTTCGGCACCTCAGCTACCCTGAGAGATTGGAGCGCCTGAACTTGCCTAGCTTATACTACAGACGGGCAAGGGGCAACCTAATTGAGGTGTATAAGCATCTCAAGGGGCACTACTCATTCGAGTGTCCTTACTTGGAGCTGGCGGACGCTCGCCCCACAAGGGGTCACAGCTCAAGACTGAAGAAGCCGCAAGTCCAGAAAACTGTGAGGGCAAACGTTTTCGGAGTGAGAGTTGTGAACTCTTGGAACAATCTACCAGAAAGTGTTGTGACGGCACCGCGTGTGAAATCTTTCAAGACAAGACTTGACCAACACTGGACCAGGTTCAGGTACATTCAGGAGCCGGTGCATGCCCAGTACTTGCAACAGTGCGTAACAGAGACGTGACCGATCGCCCAAGCGGCTAACGAGCCGATCGTTTGGTAAAGAGGATGAAAGAAAAGGAAAAGTAACAGAGACGTGACCGATTGCCCAAGCGGCTAACGAGCCGATCAGTGGTAAGTAAAAGTAACACGCACACACACTGGCAGAGAAAGAGGTAGAGAAGGACATTTGAAGAGAGAGGGAAGGAGGAAGGTAGAGAAGAAAGTTTGAAGTGAGGATAAGGGAGGGAGAGAGGTAGAGAAGGTAGTTGAAGAGGGAAGGAAAGAGGGAGGGAAGTTTGAAGAGAGAGTGAAGGGCAGTGGGAGAGAGGGGGATAGAGAGGGAAGGTTGAACAGGAGGGAGAGAGAGTGTGAGGGAGGTAGAGATGGAAGTTTGAATAGAAAGAGTATTCTTACCCTAATTCAACAACGATAAAAATAAAAGCACAAATAAATAAATAAATAAACAAATACATAAATAAATAAATAAATAAATAAATAAATAAATAAATAAATAAATAAATAAATATTATCTTTACTTCTGCTGTAACATCTACAGTATAGTTTTCCCCAACATATTCCGTTTTCTGTGAGGGTTTGTTATCAACATTCACCAGCAACTTGGAGCCAGTATGGTCCCTTTTCCAGTAAATTCTACGAAATCTTTGACATAAGACTTGTATAAAGGTTAGTTTTGATGCCTTTACTTATCAATATATTATATAAGTAGTATTTTTGCGTAATAGAATCCGAGAGAATCCATAAATTCGAAAACTAAAGACAAAATAGCGTCTTGTATCAAAGATGATACGTTAAATGTTAAAGATGTACTACGAACAGAAGCTCTTGTACATTTTCCTAAGAGACTGAATCAACAGTGTATCCTTATTTATATACAGAAAGTTACCCTAGGATTGTTAGGTTAAGTTACGTTGAGTTAGTAACATATACTCTCAAAGATAGGAGAATAAAGAGGGCGTCAAGTCACGTTCGTGGTATTTTTTTCAACAATACTCGCCGTGTGGTGGCCAGTGGTCAGAAAGCGTCAGTCGTTGGAACAGGTGGAGTAACTCGTTCATTGCTGGACTATTTCGTCGTTTTCTTTACAATACTGAAGCCTCTGGCTTATCTACTGTGTTTTGATGGATTATTGAAGTGAATGATAATAGAGACTTTAGAAATAACTGACATTATTGGTATATAAACGGTGGTGATGTGTCAACAAATCGCAATTGACTGGACCCAAACACCGACAGGCTGTACACAAGTCTCCTGCAGGTGAGGACGCTGCCATTTTCTGAACAAAACTTGTTGCTACTTGACATTTTTTTTGTCATGTGTTTATTGATTCAGTATGTTGGTGGTACACTAATATTTCAAAGATAACAGTAAAATGTGGCAATTTGGGTGGGAGGAGTTGTGTTGGTGAAGGTGCATTCAACAATAATACGTGTGAACTCCCTATTCTTGTTTTTCTGTTCTATTTCATGTAGATTTTCACCAATATATTCATCTTAACCCTTGCAATTTAAATCCAGAGTGAAAGTTAAGAAACAGCGATGTAAAATATAAAACAAAAAAAAGAATTTTGGTTTTACCAGTAGCAGCGCGCCGCGTCAAATGCCAGTTGAACCCGGAACTACCCAATCACATAACAACCTTGTCAATTATTTTACACCATTGGGTAACTGTATTCTGATACCTTAACCCACTATTATACACTACTAGCTTTCTATTATGATCTAAAGAAATGTTAATAGAAATAACGATATATGATGAACCGTTCAAAAAAAAATCTTTAGTGAACGTATGATAGAGCCTAAGATGTGTCCATAAAGATCTACTTATTCCAACACAACCCACTTCCATACATAAACAACCCACCTCCACCACACACACAACCCACCTCCTCCATACTCTTGTCTGCCTTCCACCACGCACTACACCAAGTACACTATTGATACTACATCATCATCACTACATCAGCTAACAACGTCCACTACATTATTTACACTACACTATCCATACATCACCATCACTACATCCACTACACTATCTATAGTACATCCACTACACTATCTACAGTACATCCACTACACTATCTACAGTACATCCACTACACTATTTACAGTACATCCACTACACTCTCTACAGTACATCTACTACACTATCCACAGTACATCCACTACACTACAGTACATCCACCACACTATCTACAGTACATCCACTACCACTACATACACACTCTACAGTACATCACTACACTATCTACAGTACATCCACTACACTATCTACAGTACATCCACTACACTATCTACAGTACATCCACTACACTCTCTACATTACATACTACACTATCTACAGTACATCCACTACACTATCTACAGTACATCCACTACACTATCTACAGTACATCCACTACACTCTCTACATTACATTCACTACACTATCTACAGTACATCCACTACACTATCTACAGTACATCCACTACACTATCTACAGTACATCCACTACACTCTCTACATTACATCACTACACTATCTACAGTACATCCACTACACTATCTACAGTACATCCACTACACTATCTACAGTACATCCACTACACTCTCTACAGTACATCCACTACACTATCTACAGTACATCCACTACACTCTACAGTACATCCACTACACTATCTACAGTACATCCACTACACTCTCTACATTACATTCACTACACTATCTACAGTACATCCACTACACTATCTACAGTACATGTAGGTTTGTTTTAGGTTATCATATTGTAGGAAGAATATTGTGAAACTACAGCTCCTCCGCGACTTACGACGGGATTAGGGACCCAAATCCAGGTCGTAAGTCGGAAATGCTTAAATTATACACAAAATCTAAAATGGGTGTCTCTTTTTCTTCTCAGCACCACAAAACACTCACTTTTAAGCTTGCCAGCCATTTTAAAGTGAATTTTGTCTGTGTACTGACTTTGGGACTCAAAAACACGTAAGTTGACCAAATTTTGGTACAACTGAGGCAGATCATAAGTGCGGGTGGGCGTAAGTCGAGTAGGTTGTAAGTCGGGGAGGAGATGCACTATAGTATATAACAAGATTCGTGATTCTCTAGAACCTTTATATGAAGTTTTTAGGTCACTTGAAATACATAAACCAAACGAGTTCATTCTTGCTTCCAATGTTTTTTTCAGTAGCCACTGTATAAATGTTTTTAAATCTAACTTTCTTCATAAATTCATGCCACTACCTGCCGGGAATTCCCCACTGGATAATTAGTTGAACTTCCCCTCACAGCAGAAACCTAGCCACTAGAGTGCACTACAGGTATATTGGTGTTGCTACTGATAATTTGGCTTATATGTCAACATATTTTCGGATTTATTCCAGATGATGATTGATCCTCCACTGGCAATTTCATTTGGACACTGTAAGGAGGATAAGAAGAAGTGTGGGATATTGTACAGAGGATTACAAAATAGTTTGGTGGTCTGAAGATTAGAGAAAAGGGTAAATATTCGTTTAATGGCTGTGGCTCTTTTTCTTATGAGAATATATATATATATATATATATATATATATATATATATATATATATATATATATATATATATATATATATATATATATATATATATATATATATATATATATATATATATATATATATATATATATATATATATATATATATATATATATATATATATATATATATATATATATATATATATATATATATATACATTTTTTTTTTTTTTTATGTGATTTACTCAAATCTGATCTTCATTTTTGGGGCAAATGAACGTTCTTTGTAAAACAAAATTGACTTGGGTATACTGTATTATGATGTACAGAACCTGTACTAGGGTTTATTAGGGTATACAGTACAGTATTAGAAAGTACTGTTGTAAGGGGGGGGTTGTTTCCCTTTACTACTCTCTTCTTATCCTTATTCTTTTTATTCTTCAATATAGTTATATACTTATATTTTTATTTCAAATATTTCTTATATTTATTCTCTTCTGTTATTATTCTTCAATACTTATATTCTTGCTTATATTTTCTAAGTCACCAATTTGTAAGAGTCCTGTTTTCCTCTGTATACTGTTTTGATCTAGTTATATTCTAAACCATGGATTAGTGTGGGAAACCATGTTATTCGTTTTATAACACTTATTATACTTACAACGGTAGCCTGCCACCACCCAGACTTTTATTAGAATATAACATATCTCATGGAACTGTTAGGTAGCCTGCTAGCGAACTTCTAGGCACGTGAGTTACTAGTTATTTTCTGAGAACCATTGTGTAGAAGGAATAGAATGGTGATACTTGTAGTTTACTAATTTAATATTTATTAACATATGGAGTGAATAAGATGTTAATTAATTACACTCAGATCAGACTGGACCGCTTTGGTTTTACTTTAAATTAATAGTAAAATAGATCAGTCTTGATTACAACATTATACACTCATGATATTGCTTCATTGTCAATACAGATGATTACATAACACACTCGACAAAATCCAAAATTAAGGTGGTATCAAACACCTCCTGTTAGTTCGGAATGAACAACATGGCACTTTAACTAGCATTCAGTGGTAGTACACCTGGTTGGTGGACTCAACTCCTATAATCAACATATAATGAGACAAAACTCATATGAAGAGGTAAGGTAGGAGTTTATAGTAGTAGAATCGTATAGTGAGGGAAGTAGGTAGCGTGACTTGAGGGTGTGGGGGTGACTATGTATATTAACACAGGCTCAGTACAAGTGTAGTATATAAAACACAAATGCGTGTTACAGCTTTATTTTACTAGTTGCTTAGAGGGAATTAATGGGGGGATTCGTACACAGGGTATGATAGACTATGATATTTTCGTGTAACTTCACAAGTCGATCGTTGGGAGGTTCGGGATCACCGCACTTATACCGCCTACACAGCCAGCAATTACTTTTACACGTTGAGTTGACAGCACTCTGTCGATGGACCCGGCTGAGACCTCGTTACCCTTAGTGACAGACTTCTTTGATGAGCGGGACTGGGGACGTCGTTGCTGGCCCTCCTTGGTTACAAGACTCTCTCTCTCTCCGAGAGGGCTACAGGTCCTATATATATTGGAGGAAGAGCTGTGGATGACCTCTCCTACTGAAGTGGGTGTGTCTTGACCGGGTTGTTGGGTTGGGTAACAGGGGTGCTGGCTGATTAGCGGGTCCTTGATCTCCCTTGGGTTAGGTCTGGACAGCTGTTTGTCCGGGTGTGGTCATGTCGCAGGTCAGTAGTACTTCCTAATTATTACCCCCCGGGGTGTTTTGGCCAGGTGTGGTTACCTTAACACAGTTATATCGGTTATATAGTAGGGTTACTCAAGTACTTAGTGGCCGGGGTCAGGTCTCTTGGGACTGTAGGATGTGTCGACTTGGTATGTTTGTTGCCACGTGGGCCTATACTAAATGTTATATGTGTTGTAATTCTCCGATGTAATCTGTGGTCTGATAACCAATCATTACAAACAGTACCGCTGGGACACCAACATTCATGAGTTCAATACTTAACCTGGGATAACTATATTTCTGCTAGTTAATCCCCAATCATAGATACAATAATACTGTGCCCATATAAGTGTAAAGAGTGCCCCAGGGTGTAACAACAAACGAAGAACGCTGTTAAGGTTGGTTGTAGTCCAACACACGGTGAGGGGTTCGGGCCCAGGGTGCGGACTCCCACAGTTTAATCCTGCCGAATTAACGACATCGTCCAATACAGCCAGCTGCTGGGTATTCAGCTAACACACACACTGTGCCTGAGATAATGATGGAGAAGCGAAAGAGAAAATGGGAAAACAGGGGACTCGGGCGTCTTGAAAACGGATGCCTCAGAGGGGAGACTCAATAAAGAAGGCATAGCTACATGTTTTGTGGGCTATGGAGCGTAATATGAATTGTCTGATTTTACGATAACTGGCGTGTACGGCCGTGGTCATTACACTGTAATTGGGTATACTGTACTGTACAGTACAGTATTAGGATGTACTAGAGTATATTAAGAAGTACTGTACTGTGCTATTAGGACATATGATGATGTAATAGGATATAATATAAGGGTATTTTATATGTATCTGGTTGTGAAATGCAGCAAAAAAAAAAATGCCAGACTCAAGCATTGCCTCCAGTGTTATAAAACAGAAGAGCAGCAGCTGAAGGCTCAGACATTGTCACCAGAAACAATCTGGTGGTGACTCATACCAGTGTGGGGGAGGGGATGTATGGGGGACGCTTTCATGGCATCCTGAACCCAGGCAACAAGAATCATCTCTTGAATTTTGACGACCTCAGATGTGTGTCGTGCCAGGTGCATAATTGTATTAATTTAAATTAAAAGACTTTCAATTCTCTCACACCAGGCAGTGTCCAAAGGAAAGGCTGCAGTGGAACACAAACTTGCCGATTTGAAGAAGATGGAGCAGAACTGCATCACCTTAGTGTCGGTGGTGGGCACTCTTGGCGGCCTCATGATACTAGCAATCCTCGCTACCCTCTGCTTCTCTGTCAGCAAGAGACACTCAGGAATCAAAAAGACTCCCGTTAGCAGAGATAACAGGAAGGTAAGGCTGGATGGTTGTATGCTCAAGTCAAGATGACTATCAAACACACACAACACCGGAAATAGTCCTCGGTAACGACTCCGAGCTTGGTAGTGGCTCTGGCCTCTTTTCATTCTCAACAACTGCCTTGTTGACTACACTCACCATATTTTGGGGGTGTGGCCAGAGATGACATTGTTTACATGGTACACACTTCCTCCTGGATAGGAAGTTGAGGGGGTGGGGGTATCTTGCTGTCCCATGGTTCTGTACTGATACACCTGCCTCTACTACATTCCCCCAAGTCCGTCCCAGTTTTTCACCGAATCCTCCCTCTTTGCTTCAAGAGTTATTTGTGCTGTTCTCTCTGCACTACTGTGTGATCTGCACTTATGACTATGTCTCAAAATGCTGCGTTCCCTGCCTGTCTGATAAATTCCCACTTTTCCCCCATTCTCTAATGTTATACTGTATTGAGGGGATGGGACTTATTCTCCTGCTTCTTTCCTAGCATCGTCACTTCATTGGGGGTAGTACAGTATACAGGTTCAGAGCCTCTGTACAGATATTCAGAACCTTCATCTTGTCATGTATTTTCCTACTTTCAGCTTTCTCCGACTGACTCTTAGGAACTCCAAACACAGTTGTATTGTTCCTATGCTCAAGCCGATCACAGTGTTGCCCTCTCCCATATCAGAAGGCCTACCGGTTGTAATCTTTTCAAAACTTCTGTAGAGTCCCTAGCTGCTGCAAGGCCTGTTCAGATCCTACATTTCTTTGTCACCTTCTGAGGCCCTGCTGCAACCTGAGCGTAGCTTTTCTCTACTACTCCCTCTATCCTATCGGCAACTTCTTTAATCTTAGTGCTCTAGTTTGGTAACCACTGAGAATCCAGCTTTTATTTTTTACTATAAGTTTCTATTTCCCTTATGATCCTCAATAACCTTGATGACTTTGGTTGTACAGTCAGGGCAATACCAGTAGCAGCCTCTATACTTTAGCACATTCTGTAGCATTATAAAGTTGAATGAAATTAAAAACTGAATACCATGATATGAGGATGGTAGTTTGATTGATTGAATGTGATAACAGAACACACCACTGCACTAACTTAATTTAATCAGACCAAACATAGTCTAATTTACTTTTAATTTAACTAATTCCAGCTTGATTTAATCTGCATTTTATGTGACTTATCCTAATCTAAGTTTTAACTAATTTAACTTGATCTTATAAAGCTTAATTTGAATTAACCTCATCTAAGCAGTTCAAACTTAACCCCTAACATACTTTAAGGTGACCTATCCTAATCCAACTTAGCTTAACATGACTTTATGCTAACCCTAACTTACTATAATCCATCCTAATTTCACATTTACTTCAGATTACTATTAAACCTGTACAAACTCTCTTTGGATTTTTGTCTATGTTCCAACAATAATGTACATAGCTTGTAGGCATAAGTTAATCATTCTACAGTATTGTACAGGTATCTTTAAGACCCAGAAAATATTAAATTTTAATCTGTCATTAGTACAGCTCCTCTCCGACTTACGACCTACTCGACTTATGACCACCCGCACTTACGACCTGCCTCGGTTGTACCAATATTTGGTTAAATTGTGTATTTTCAAGTCCCAACGTCGGTACACAGACAAAATTTTTGTTTGTAATTCACTTTAAAATGGCTGGCAAGCTTAAAAGTGAGTTTTTTGGTGCTGAGAAGAAAAATAGACACCCATTTTAGATTTTCTATGTAATATTTAAGCATATTCGACTTACGACCATTTTGACTTAGGACCTGGATTTGGGTCCCTAACCCTGTCGTAAGTCGGGGAGGAGTTGTGTATGAAATTCTTATGTACTGCAAGTTTCCAGCCTCCTAAACACCCCCTCGGTAACACTTTTAACCTTTATTTTTTTACTTTTATCCTCTTCGCCACTGATCGGCTCGTTAGCCGCTTGGGCGATCGGTCATTCTCTGATTACTTTTCCTTTTCATTTATCCTCTTCACCAAAAGATCGGCTCGCTAGCCGCCCGGGCGATCGGTCACGTCTCTGTCACGCACTGTTGGCAAATACTGGGCATGCACCGGCTCCTGAATGTACCTGAACCCGCTCCAGTGTTGATCAAGTCTTGTCTTGAAAGAGCTCACACTCGGTGCCGTCACAACACTCTCTGGTAGATTGTTCCAAGAGTTTACAACCCTCACTCCGAAAAGTTTGCCCTCACAGTTTTCTGGACTTGCGGCTTCTTCAATCTTGAGCTGTGACCCCTTGTGGGGCGAGCGTCCGCCAGCTCCAAGTAAGGACACTCGACTGATTAGTGCCCCCTGAGATGCTTATACACCTCAACTAGGTTACCCCTTGCTCGTCTGTAATATAAGCTAGGCAAGTTCTGGCGCTCCAATCTCTCAGGGTAGCTGAGGTGCCGAAATGCAGGCACCAGTCTGGTGGTCCTCCTTTGAACATTTTCAACCAACTGACAGTCCATAGCATATCTCAGGGACCAGACTGAGTGACACTACTCCAGATGGGGAAGCACTTCACTCTTGAAGATCGTTACGAGGGACGGACCATCTAGATATCTGAACGACCTTCTTATAAGACCCAATAATTTATTTGCCTGGTTTACTTTCTTCTCACAATGGCCCGAAAACTTCAGCTCATTGTCAACATACACACCTAGGTCCTTCTCACATTCAGTCTCGACTAGTGCAGTTTCTTCATCCCGTTGGAACATATGATACGCCTCCTTACCGTTGGTACGCCCCAAGTGCATCCTCTTACACTTCGTGACATTGAATCTCAGCAGCCATTCCTTCGACCATTCCTGGAACCCACAGAGGTCCTTCTGCAGCTCTTCACAGTCAGCTTGGTTCTTAATTTCCCGAAATAACTTAGCGTCATCGGCAAACATTTGTATGGAGGAGTGTACAATGTCAGGCATGTCATTTATGAAACAAACAAACAACAGCGGGCCCAATACACTGCCCTGTGGTACCCCACTTGTGACAGGTACGGATGACAATTTCGTGCCATTAATCACCACACACTGCTTGCGGTCATGTAGAAAGTCTTCTATCCATGCAAGGACATTTTCTCCGAATTCCATACCCTTCCAGTTTGATTTTCAGCCTTTCATGGGGTACACTGTCGAAAGCCTTGGCAAAATCTAGGTAAATATTGTCGATATTACCACCCCATTCCAGAATATGGGTCCAAATATCCAATACCTTGAGCAATTGTGTTAAGCAGGAGCGCCCTGGCATAAAACCGTGTTGGCAATCCTTTACAAGATTGTTTCACATTAGATGTTCCATTGCGGCATCTCTGATAATACTCTCAAGTACCTTACATATTATGCTGGTCAGGCTCACTGGTCTATAGTTGTTCGTGGAGTGCCGATATCCCTTCTTGAAGATAGGACTCACATAAGCCACTTTCCATTCACTGGGGACAGTGAAGTTGTTTATCATGTGTGTTATAAGAGGAAATACAACACTAGATAAGAGCATCATCCAATTCACTAACATTTGAAATATATATTTTGTCTTATTCCTTAGTACAGTTCAGTAGTGATATCCCCATTAGCCGGAATAATTAGTTCAGAGCTCTTCCGAGGATGAGAGATTTCCGGGTAATGAGATGATTCTCTCAAACCCGGAAATATTTCAGAATTTTTCCGGGTACTGGGAAAACTTTCTCGGAATTTTCCAGAAATTACGCATTACTGTATTTCATCCTAGAATTTAACTCCCAGACCCAGAAAAAACAATTAGGAAGTTTCCAGAATTTGTCAGAGCTACGCATTATTTCATCCTCTGAATTTGACCCCAGACCCAGTTTCTAGAAGTTTTCTCAGAATTTTCTGTAAAATTTGCTTGATTTTCAACCTCGAAAACTTGTTCACAGACCCGGAATTGAGAGAATTTTGTTACGGAAAAATTCTGAGTCATTTTTAATTCCGGGTACAGTTCTGTATTGGAGGGTTTCAGCTAATGGAGATATTACTTTATGAATTACTGAGACAAGTCCTTGTACCCGTCCATTGTATAGGGTATGCTGTAGCCTCCTCTTAACTTAACCCAATCTCAGTACAGTGCTGCACAAGCACCAGCAGTTCAGGATGACTGGCAGTAAGCGGTTATCTCCTTACCTTTAACAACCTGTATGGTAGCTGATTAGTGCTGGTAAATATACAGCATATATTGTAAGCTTCACTTAAAAACAACCTTCCTCTTTTAATATTGACCTCTCTTCCCAAAGAACTAACCTGGAGGGACCATCATTTCATATTTCAAGTTTTACAAGAGTAGGGCCAAAGCTGTGAGTGCAACAGATTTACATAGAGATGGTTAAACTAACAGATGCACTTTACATGATCAAACTTACAGCTCAGCATGCAGCACAAGGCTCTAGGTGACCTGTGGTGTAATGGTCAGCATGCTCACCTCGCAAGCGAGTGGACCCGGGTTCGATCCCCGGGCAGGGTGAAACTACTGTATGGGCAAGTTTTTCTATGCCATTTGCCTCTGTCTACCCAGCAGTAATGGGGAACTGGATGTTAATCGATTTGTGGATTATGTTTCGGGTTAATGGTTAGCCAGTGGAGTTGGCGAGTTGTCCACTTTTCTCGGACTATTCCTCGACAATGGGTCATGCAACTCACTAACTTAGGGTGTGGTTAATGTGTTGGTGACCGCTTATTTAGGGTGTGGTTATTGTGATGGCGACAGCTTCTACACCTTAAACAAATTGACTCCTAGGTGGCCCTAAGGCCGGCCATCCTCGTTACACGAGGGGCAACCATTATAGTGACCATGTCAAGGCCTTCACTCAGCAATCATTAACTGAGTATTATGGAAGAGTGTCCTTTAAGTTTTTACCCAATTATAATATATTGAAACACACAATTCAATATGAAGTGAGGAGGTTAATTTGATACAACACTTCTCTCCTGTCTTATAGGTTGCTGGTTCATAGTTAGGGCACCTCCAGTCCACCTAGCTGTGAATGGGTACCTAACTTACCAGTTGGGAAAGTGAAGGTGAGAGAATGCAATGCCGGACACATTGTCTTTGTGTATCAGAGGCTTAGTCTTAAGTGAGCCATCAGGCCTATGAGAGTTTTTCACTCCACATAATGAAAAATACATTTATTTTTCAAACGATGACTTTTCTATTTGAATTATTCCTCATGCAGATCAAAGTGTGTTTCTAATCAATACTTAATGACTAACCACCCAAATGGCTCTCAAGCCGATCAGTGGCAAAGAGGATAAAAGTAAAAAAGAAAATGGACCTGGTGTAAGTGTTCTTGAGTTATAGTAGCTAGGTGTTATGTAGACTGACCATTGAAACTTACCAAGCCATTGGACAGATTTATATTGAATGCTTTTGTCGACCTATTGTGATGTAGATGGATTTTTTATGTGTTAGGGGTTTTTTTTTTTTTTTTTTGCATGTTGGAGAGGATTTTTTACATTTTGTGATGATAGTCCTTTAAGGAACTTACCAGATTTTGATTACTCTACCTTGTTATTATATGAAACGTGAGACTGTTCTCATGTATTGAATGTAAGACTCAGGGAAAATTAGACAAGCAATTTATATAATATAACTTGGTTCATTAATGTTCACAACTGAATACAAGTGACAACATGTCACCATTACTTCACTGTTGTCTGCTAACCTCTGTAGCACTGCAGACATCACCATTGTCAGATAATCACCATCAGTCCACACTTCCTCATAGACACCATCAATATCTGTTGTGGTGTGGTGGTAAGAAGTTACAGACAGCTTCTTGGTGCTTGTAGCAGTCTTGGTGTATGGTGGGCTAGTGTAGCGACTGCATGGTGTGTTGTTGGGACTGGTAATGACTGCCCACACTCCTGGTGAAATTGGTGTTCCTCCAGTTGTCAGTTCTCCCTGCTCTCCTCTTCCCCATTCTTTATACCACACTCTGGAACAGGAGCAACCAATCAGCTGAGGTTACACATAGTAGGAACCAGTTGGAAATTTAGGTTACAATTCTGGACAGTCTCGACCCTTTATTCATTTTATGGTGAATCCTTTGAGTTTAAGTTAAAACTTTGAACCCCAAGCTCCAGTCTCGAATCCCCAAACCTCAGGAATTACAGAACCCACAACCCTTTGATACGAAGCCCCCTTATCCACAAGATCCTGAACTCATTGAATCTAGAAAATAATGTTATTTCATCACATGTTTGTTTGGGGGGATTTTTTAAGTTTGGGGGATGGCGTTTTGACGTGTGAGGGCGGGGTTTTGACGAGTGTGCAGTCATTTTTTCATGTTTTGGGATAGAGATGTTTTGTCACAGGAGATATTAGTTAGGTATCTACAAGGTGGGGGGAAATTTTGAGGGGTATTTTTCCACATATATCATGTAAATTACATTAACCTGTATATACAATATGGGAAGTATTTTTGTGTGAATACCAGTATAGAGCTGTACTGTACATTGATAAATTAAATACTCAAAGGTTTTTCATATGCATATCCTTATACAAGTGCTCCTCTACTTAAGGACGTTCAACTTACAAACTTTCGGAGATACAAACATCATCACTGATGGGGGGGGGGGTTACCTGTCAGAACAGGTGTTTAATGTGGATGAGACTGGATTATTTTGAAGAAAATTTCAGATAGAACAAATATTGCCTAAGAACAGAAGAGTGAGCCAGGTTTTAAGGCTGTATTAAAGGGTATAGCTGTACTAAATATCCATAATATTTTCATTTTTTACAATATGTTTTGTATCTACAGAAGTAAAGTTGGACGGACAAACAAGCCTCAGGAACTAACTCGTTCGTAAGTAGAGGAGCATCTATATACAGGTGGGTGATGATTTATTCTTGTCAAAAAATTATCAATGAAGGAACTGTTTTCTCCATGTATAAACTTTGATTGATCAAACTTTCAGTAAGTTGTTAGCAGGGATGGCATAAGGATGCTATTGGAAAAAAATATTTTCTGCTTGTTGGTTATCCTTGGTCATATTGACTAAATGTCAGTTATGGATACATAATAAATTAGATGCTTTTTCAGCAGATGCAGCTCACCAACTTACAATAGGCTAACTTAACTTACAACGTGCTTTCAGTAGTCTATGTTGAACCATATGACAGTCATCTGAGTAAAAACTCGCACAATATTCATTGACTGTCCTATGTGTTAGACTTTACCGCCATTGGTGAATAGAATTTTAGTTTTACATTTGTAAATATTATTTAAAACATATATGAACAGCAAATAAGTGTTGCTTTCATATTCATATGTAGAGAAATGACATATGTTTTCACATGTACGCACTTACTGTACATACGTTGGCGTTCTCAATCGTCTCGCCTTATTTCTTTACCATTAGTGGTTAGCTACTTCTAGTGTTCCATTTATTAACATTAAATAGCATTACTTAAAACATACATACAGGTATTAAATTTTTTTAAATTAAGTTCACTACAGCCACA